AAAAAAGACAAAAGACAAAAAAAAAAAAAAAAAAAAACCCAATACTCAATGCTGGCATAAACAGGAATGTGCAGTGCTATAAAGCGCTAATATGAATACAAATGCACACAATCCTTCGCATGTTACAGAGAGAGGCAACAATTTGGCAATATCGAATAAACTTCATAATACACATACACCATTTAGTTTATCCAGGCAACTCTATTTCTAGGAATCTACCCTACAAAAATATTTACACGAGATTATGAGATTATTTTATAAGCATGTTCATAAAGACTACATTATTTGCAAGAGTGGAATAGTTAGAAACAACTCCAGGTCCATCAACTGGAAACTAGTTAAATATATCCTCTAGGGAGGCTAAAAGAGATGGGTCTATTGGCTGGAGGATGGACAACAGAGCAGAATGCATGGTTTCAAAAAAGAGCAGCCTGCACAGAGTAAACACCATGACCTCCAGCCCTTTTCCCCAACCAGTATTCCTAATGCTGACAAGCTAGGAATCCCGCAAATGGCCAAGCCAGATGAACCTCACAGTAACACTGGTATCAACAGGGCTCGCCCACTTTCTCAGTTTCCAATCAGCTTTCTAGTTCCTCACTTTTAAACATGAAAGACAGAGGCCAAAAGCAAACAAGGAAAAAAGCAACCTGGAGAAAGCAAATTATTTAGAGATGTTGACCTAAAAAAGAAACTGAGGCCAAATGCATATAGTAAGGAGTTTATATTTGAGCGTATTTAAGAAACTGCAGTCCCGGAAGGCAAGTCCAAGTTGCCTTGAAATGTGCTTCAAAGGAGGTTAGCAGAATTCAGGATTTTATAATCACACAAAGGGGGAGAATAAAAGGGGAGGGAAGAGGACAGCCCCTTTGTAATCATTACATCAGTTTTTCTATAGGTTGTACATTATGTATAGATTTGGGATTGTTACTAGGCTACATCCTACATGCAGCGATCTAGGGTAAGGGTTACCAGAAGCAGTCTAGGTTGTTATTCAACTTCTGGTGCCAGTACATCTGCTTCTAAACTAAAATGGTCTTATGATAATGTTTTACAGGACACGAGACATGACTACTGATTTATCCCAGATCTCCCAAGGCACTACAGTTTAGCTGACCTGGTCAGAGCAGATTTGTTTTGTTGTTTTATCAGAGAAAAGGCTAGAAAATAAAAACTAATATACTTAGAGAGTAAAAGACATTCAACTTGTAACAAAACCAAGATATTCTAAAAAACAAAGTTGCAGAAAAAAGAATTTTGGAAATTAAAAATGATAGCAAAAACAAAAAGCTCATTAGAAGTGTTATAAAATAAGGTTGAGAATATCCCCTAAATTAAGCTGTTAAGAAAATAGGAGAAGAAGGTTGTGCAGGTTAGGACCCAACCAGTCCTCTACCTCCTGCCGAGGAGCAGAGAGGGAAGGGGAAATTACAAACAATAAGAGAAAAAATAAGAGGATTAAGAGGACTAGTCCAGGAGGTCTTTCATCCAAACAACAGAAGTTCTAGAAAAAGAAAACAAAGAGGGAGAAAATAAACAATTCAAGAAAATGTTACAGAACTGAAAGGCCTGATGAGAGCCCAATACTGGAAAATTTCTGGTCTACAGACAAAAGAGAACCCATTAAGGCACATCATCATGAAATTTTAAAACTTTGGAGACAGAAAAGATTCTATAAGCTTCTAGGGAAGAAAAAAATCAGGTAATAAACAAAAGAGCAGGAATAAGAATGATTCTGACATCTCAACTGCAACATAAGCAACTAAACAACAATAAAGCAGTGCCCAAAAGTTCTGGAGGAAGATTATTTCCAGCCCCAAATTCTATAACCAGCCAATTATAAGTAGGGATAGAATAAAGACATTTTTAGATACACATGGATGCAAATTTACTTCCAATGCGTCATTTCTTAGGAAGCTACCAGAAGATATAGCCCACCAAAATTCATAAATTAAGAAAGAGGAAGATGTGGGAAACAGAAAGTTAGCAAAGGGAATCCCCAGAGTGAAAGGAAATTCCTGGAATTCAGCTGCGTACCTGGCCTAAACCTCATCCCTTCTCAGCTAGTCATGTTCCTGCCCTCTGCCTTTTTCTGCTTGATCAGCTAACAGTACTCATTCCACCTGTCAGAAGTGTTCTGCTTCCACCTAGACTTGAGAACTACGGTTGGCCTCTGTGAGCTCAGAGCAGAAGAGGAGGAGGAGCAGCCTACTCCCCCAACAAATTCCTGCCAGCCAGAAGCCCAGACCTGGTCCCTATTAGAGCCGTAACAAATGACCAAACTGGGTGAGGCAGTTCCCAGCACTTGCTCAAGGACTTGCTCACTAGCTTCCCTTCAAAAGGGTGCTTATAAACTTAGAGCCAAACCCAGCCTCTGACTATCCAAGAAAAAAATTATTCAGTGATATCTGTTAAAGCCCAGTAAGGAAGACTTTATTCAAGGCCACTGCAATAGGTATAGGGACCACCGCAATGGGGTCTTGCAGAGGGGGAGAGAGAGTGGGCTCAACTCCAAACACAACATAGGCAAGTGGGAATTTATAGCCAAAAAGCAGAATGGGGAGCAGTGGATGGAAAATTACTAACAGGAAACATCAGGGGGAAGGAGGGTTCTGGCTAAAGCAACTTAAGATTCTCTAGTTGGTTAGAGCACAGCCCTATAACCCCAAGGTCACAGGTTCAGATCCCTGTACTGGCCAGCCGCACCAAAGAAAACCAAAAAAAAAAAACTGAACAGGATTCTTGCTGAAGACAGGCTGGGGTGATCAGACATCACCTGGGGGATGGTGGAGGATGAGGAACTGATCAGGTATTGAGGGTAATCAGATATAGGGGATAGAAGGTTTTTGTTAAACTGACTTAGTGGGATTCTTTGCTAAAGACTGGATTTTACAAGGAAGTGAACAGATGGGCCCAAAAGAAAATTCAGAAGCCAAACAGAAGTTTGTCCAAGAAAAGAATCTTTGTCATGAATAAGAGACTTATTTTCAAAGTAAATTTTCCTGGAAGACTTTACCTACCAGTGATCATAATGCCTTTTCATCACACAACTTACTAATCAGCTTTTATGTTAATCACCTCTGCATTCATTCACATGTACATGCTTATTAAAATAATAAAATATTTGGCTAATCATTTAAAAATTTTAATAATACTTACATTCATTGTAGAATTACTTATAAAGAAAAAAAAAATCAAAGGTCCATCAATAAAGGTTTGTTCACATAAATGAATACTAGAAAACCATTAAAAATGTCATATTAGAATTTCTAAAACTATGGAATTGCAATATATTGTTAGGTCAGATGGTTTCCACAGAGTATAATCTCTGTATGTGTTCTATATATTCAGAGAGAAAGAATAGAAAAAAAATCAGGATGTTAACAGTGGTTACTCCTGTGGTAAAATAATGAATGGTATTAAACGTTTTCTTTCAATAGTTGTATTTTCTTTTCTTTTTTTTTTTTTTGACCAGTAAGGGGATCACAATCCTCGGCACAGTGTGGTCTGCACCACGCTCCGCCAGTGAGCGCACCAGCCATCTCCGTATAGGATCCAAACCCGCGGCCTCGGTGCTAACAGCACTGCACTCTCCTGAGTGAGCCGCAGGGCCGGCCTGATAGTTGTATTTTCTAAACTTCCCACAATATAAAGGCATTTCTTTATAATAAGAAAATGTAAGTTATTGAAGATTAAAACAAAAAATCTTCATGTCTAATTAAATAGGCATTTTTTTTTCCTTTTTGTCTTTTTTCATGTCCGGCAACGGACCGCAACCCTCAGTGTCGCGCCCGTACCGGACCGGGACCAGCAACGGGATCGCAACCCTCGGTGCTGCGCCCACCCCTCGCTCAGCC